CCACCCGGGCGAAAAACGATGTTGACAGCTTGGCGACCCCGTTGGGAGCATTTTGTTTTCTAAAACAAAAATTGAGATTTGAGTCACGAGTCAATTACCTTATATTCGAGAATTGGAAGTTTTGAGTTTGAATTTATTTAATTTACGATTCATTATGCTTTTTAAAACAAAAATAAAAATAATTTCTCTCTGGTTAATGTTTTCAGTTGATTGAATATAAATACGATTGTTGCATTGCATATCAAAGGTCTATACTCGAGTTTCATCCCGTTTCATCTTAATAGGGAAAACGTCACACCTCACAAGAGCATTGGGCTTCCTTGTTTGGATGAGACACCAAAACCATACCCTTATCTTTACATAGGCACCAAATTCATACTTATACCTTCTCATTTAAAAAACAAGGTAAAGGTGTTGGTCTGTCTAGCAGTTCTCCTCCTCGGTGAATGTTTGTTTTTGGAATGTGATAGGGTTAAATAACCCTCTAAGCAAGTTAAAGTTGCTAAAAGGATGGAGGAATTGTGTACTGATGTTGCATGTTTCATTGAGACTGGGGTGAAGCTTGCTAATGTGCAAGGTAACCTTAATGCTCGTTTTACTGACTGGAAGTGTGTTCATAACTATGATCATGCTAATAATGTTTGTGTTTAGGTTCTTTGGAGGAATCATCTTTCTTTTTCGGTTTGTAAGGTGGTGGATCAAGATATCTCTATTCGGGGTCAATGTAATGGTTCTGATATCTTTATTATTATGGTATATGGCAGCAATGATGTTGTACAGAGGTAGTTGTGGCAACATATTCAGGTTATGGAGGGGTTGGTTGGCTCTAATCCTTGGTTGGTTGGAGGTGACTTTAATGTCATCTGTCATTCAAATGAAATGTCTGATTTTGGTACTTTGGGCTCTCATTGTACTGCTGATATGAGGGATTTTCAGGAGTGACTGCAATCTTTCTCTTGATAATCATCTGTATTCTGCTCCCTTGTTCACTTGGACAAATAAGCATGATGTGGGGTTTTTAGCTCAAAAGTTGGATAAGGTGCTCATTAGTTCTTCTTGCGCTATTGCATTTCATGATTCTTATGTCAAATTTCAAGCTTTGGGTACCTCTGATCGTTACCATTCTACTATTTGGCTGAGTAGGGATAATCTAGTTCGTCGTCCGAAACCATCCAATTTTTTTAAATTTTTGGACTGCTCATCCTGACTTTCTTTGAATTGTTTATGACTCTTAGAGGCTTTCTGTTTGCGACAGTAATCATATGCATACTCTTTTTTTCAAATTGAAGCACAAACTTCATTTTGCAAACATTTTTGGACGTGTAAAACTAAAGAATGTGCAGTTAAAGCAGAAGCAACTTGGGAACTTGACTGGGGTTGTTGTGGATGTCATGTATAAAAAGGTAATGTTTGATGAATTGTGCGAGCTTGAGAAGGCATATAAATTGTTTTATATGTAGAAAACAAAGGTTAATTGGTTGCAGGATGGGGATCAATCTACAAAATTCTTTCACTCGGCTATTGCAGTTAAAAACAAGAGAAATAATGTTCGAGCTCTTCATGATGTCGAGGGGAGGCGGTTAGATACTTTTAATGGCATGGCTAATGAGATGGTGCGGTTCTTTGTTAATCTTCTTGGTACTAGGGATCAATGTCTGTTGGGCTGTGATGTTGATAGTTTAAGAAGTCTCATCCAGTTTGTTTTGCCTATGGGTGTTGGGGATATGTTGATTAAGGAAGTTACTAGTACTGAGACCAGGTCTGCTTTATTTGGTCAAAGGAGTGATAAAGCTCCTAGTCCTGAAGGTTACACTTCCTATTTTTTCAATACATCTTGGTCTGTGGTTGGTGATGATTTTATTATGGTTGTTAAGGATTTCTTTAGTTCCTCACGGATGCTTCCTACTTTTAATTCCACCATTATTGCTCTTGTGCCTAAGATTCCTAATCTTGGGATGGCTAAGGACTTTAGGCCTATATCATGTTGTTTAGTGGTTTTAAGACGGTAACAAGGATCTTAGTGGATAGACTCACCTTGTATCTTCCTGATATGGTTTCTATTAGTTAAACGACCTTTTTAAAGGGTCGAAATATTGTTGATAATACTCTGTTAGCTCAGGAGATTGTTATTGGCTATGCTATGAGGTCTTTGTCTCCTATGATTACCTTCAAGATTGATCTTCAGAAGGCGTTTGATTCTTTAAGCTAGCAGTTCATTCTTATTGTCTTGGAGGCATTAGGATTGCCTAGCATCTTTTTGCAGTTGGGTTAAGGCTTGTCTCACTTCTCCTCGATCTCTATCTCATTTAATGAGAGTCTTGTTAGATAATTTAAGGGTGAAAGGGGCATTAGGCAGGGGATCCTCTCCCCCTACCTATTTGTGCTTGCCATGAATGTCCTCTCAAAGGTTTTAGATTTGGCTACAGCTAAGGGGCCTTTCAATTCCATCCGAAGTGCAAGAAAATTGGCCTCACTCATTTAAGTTTTGTTGATGATCTGATTATTTTTTGTAATGGTTCACTGGACTCTGTGGTGGGAATTCAGTGTATTCTGGAAAGGTTTTATAAGATGTATGGGCTCAGGTTGAATGCTGCCAAAAGCGAATTGTTTTCCTCAGGTGCCTTTGTTGATGTTTTGGAGTCTATCCAAGAGGTTACTAGGTTTAAAATCGATTACCTCCCTGTCAGGTACTTAGGAGTCACGCTTGTTACTTTTAAGCTTACTGGGAAGGATTTTCAAGCCTTGGTAGAGAAGATTAAAGCTAAGTTGGGGCATTGGTCTGGTAGTTAATTGAGCTTTACTGGAAGGCTTCAGCTCAGCAAGCCTATTATGTTTGGCATTGCAAATTTTTGGTGCAGGCAGCTCGTTCTTCCTTCGACGGTGATATCTAGGGTTAATCAACTTTGCATGAGAGTTCTTTGGAAATGAGAGGATTCTAGTTCTGTTGGTGTTAAAGTAAGTTGGCAATCTATTTGCTCGCTTAAATCTGAGGGAAGTTTGGGGTTAAGGGATATTCATTGCTAGAACAAAGCTTGTGTTGCAGCTTGTGAGGAAATTGCTTGCTGGTGAGGGCTCCCTTTGGGTAGCCTAGGTACGTGCTTATGTGCTCAGGGGTGCTGATTTTTGGCATTTTGAGAGCAAGATCAACACCAGTTGGAGTCTGCGAAAGCTTTTTAGGCTTCGGGAGGAGGTTGTTTCTGTTTTTGCTTCTATTCCTTCTAAGCAATAGGCATCTACTTCTTGGAATTGGCGTGAGATTCTATGTATGAGGACTCGTGTTTACCGGCATAAACTAATATGGTTTCCTCTATATTCCTAGGCATTCTTTTATTAGTTGGTTGGTTATTCTTTATCGTTTGAGTACTAAAGATAGGTAGTTGAAAATGAGTACTGTGGTTGATTCCCTTTGTGTTTTGTGTGTTATTGGTTTGGAGTCCAGGATTGTGTGCTATTGGTTTGGAGTCCAGGAGCCATTTGTTTTTGGTTGTTCTTTCTCTTGTTCTATCTGGGAAAGGATTCTTGGTCTATGTGGTTTTGCTAGGCCTGTTTCTGGGTGGGATCAAGAGTTATGGTGGGTTTGCTCTCAGTAAAAGGGAAAATCTTTTCATGTCTTTATCCTGAAGATTGCTTGGTGTGCTCTTATATATTTTGGATGGGAAAAGCGTAACAGGTCTCGGTCTGTTGATGATGTTTTAGAGGCTATTAAGGAGGTTGTTTATATTAGAGCCAGAAGCATGCGTAATTTGAGCCATGTAAACTCCAGGCTTTGTGATGCCTAGGGTATATCCTAGGATGGTAGTTTGTTCTCTTATTTGTCTTTGGTTTGTAGGTTCCTTTCTTTACTTTGGATAATATATTTGAAAGCTTATCCAAAAAAAAAAAATTGATCTGTTTTGTAAGCTCATTTATTCATAAAAAGATTTGCCGGTGGGATGGCAAAACAAAGCATATGCCACAAATATGTCCACATGATTTTGTTTTGTATTTGCATTTTTCCATATATTTTAGGTATCCAAATTATTACTACTCAAACAACAGTACTACTGAAACATACTAACATTCGAATATAATTATAAATTAAAGATATCGAATATACATATACTCTCTAAAAATCTAATTCGGGTATAATATATATATAGGGTGTGATTTAAAATTGCTGCTCGAAAAGAAAGAAAATATTTAAAGCATGCCGACTTCTTTCTCAATTTCAATGAGTGTTAGATCAATTTTATTTCTGAGGGAAAACGGAAGAGGATAGTGGTTATAGGAGCAGGAATCTTCCATGTTTGAGATATTGTCGGACAACCAATGGAGACCTTCATAGAGTCCATGTCCGGTGTAAGCTGAGGTATTCTGGATAAACCTGCACCAAAAAATTCAATTTTTTTAATTAATTTAGGGTGATTATAAGTTGTAGTATTTATTCAAAAGATTATCGACTATTTGACAATAATAATCAAATGCCCTGATAGTCGCTATTGCTCAAATCTGATACCTCTAAAGATAACAACAATTTATTCAACCACTAAATTTGCTTGGTTCATGATCTAATCTTTTTACTTAATACATTAACCATAGATTTAGTAAGATGAATCTAAAATACAATTCATTAACAAAAGACTAAAAAAAGGTAAGAATGTAATAAAAAAATTATCAAGAGTAAAAAAATAGAGTAAATTAGATAGCATTTTATGTTGAAAATGAAAATATTACATTTTTCATAACAGTTCATGTAAATTACAGAACTATTTCGGTTGCAACTTAAAAACTTATTGTCAAGACATTAACGAAATTATTATCAATAGTGTAACTTTTTAACCTACACAAATAACATTTTAGGTTAAAACTCGTTATAGTGTAACATTCTTTGTTGTAATCTAAATTATTATTAATTGTATAACTTTTTAAGTTGAAATAATAATATTTTAGGTTAAAACATGTACTAAATTAAAGTTAAGCTGCGGCGGAGCAGCCAAGAAGAAAGAGAAAACCAATTACCAGGGTCGCTGACCAAGACAGTGTAAACCTAGTTTATCAGCAATCTCATAGGAAGACATGGCGTCGGGCAGGTCTTGCTTATTGGCCAGCACTAACACTGCTGCATTGGCTAGCTCATTCTGCGATGCATCAAATTAATCCCTAGGCAATAACATCAAATATTTTTAATATCAAGGGCTTACTGACATCGGCTAATGCCCAGTGGAGCTCTTTCCGAGCTTCTGAAATTCTTTCTCTATCGCTGCTGTCCACCACAAAGATTAATGCCTGGACGTCAAGGAAGTAATGTTTCCACAATGGCCGAATCTGTATTATAATATTTAATTAACCTCTCCCCTACAAATTTCATTAGTCGAAGGAAACGAATGAAGTATACCTTGCTTTCTCCTCCAATATCCCATACATCGAAGCATATGTTTCTGTACTGTATGCTCTCTACATTAAAACCTGCTCCATAAGAAATTTAAACAACAGGCACTGGATTAATTATTCAAACTCTGGTTTTGGTTGACATGATTTGACCTTAGACTTTTATGATTTCATCATAATAGGTTAAGACTGTTGATTAAAATGTTAACATTATTTTTTCCCTCTTTCTATCAGGCAATTCCAACAATTAAACATTAAACACGTCTGAGTGATGAATCAGAAAGGGAGTTTTGAAAAAAAAATCCACAACAATGTTTTCTTTTTAATAGTTAACCATTGACAAATTAAAGTTTATTATCTAATTTCCAACCCAGAACATTGCAGAATGACCCGAAGCAATAATTTAACCAAAGATCTTTTGAGTCAATCAGAACTAGCTACAATATTCTATTTTCATTGTCTTGTTCCTTCCTTTCTTGGGTACGTATATCGTCTAATTTCCAACCCAGAACATAGTAAAAGATTAAACAACTTAACATCAGAGAAAATAGAGAGCTTTACTGTTGAACGAAAAGCAGCCATGAAGTGATGAAGGAAGATGAGTTTTAGATTATACCAATAGTGGGCTTAGTTTTAAGCAGGTCTCCCAGCTTTAGCTTGTAAAGAATGGTTGTTTTGCCAGAACCATCCAGACCCACCATGAGAACCCTTAGTCTACACTGAGGCAGGAACCCCAGCCTCTTGGCAAGTCGAGCTATCGATCCCCCCATTTCCTTAAATTTTACTTCCCCTACGAACCAGGGCAAGACAAAACTAAATTTGTACGCGTTTTAAGTGTAAAGATGAGGGATTGTTTTTCCAACAGGAAACCTATGAAAGGACAGATAGACGACAAAGGAGTTCCCTTGTATTGTAAGTCATATACCATTTGCCAAGTGTTTGGCACTGTTGAACGGGCAGGAGGCTTTTAAGGCTAAACAAGAATATGTTCTGATCTAAAGAAAATAATTTTAAAGTCTCATTTGCTTTCTGTGACTTCTTGTCGCCATTACATGTTTTTAACATTAGTGGAGTAATCAGATTCCTCTGAGCTAATTGCTTGAAACTTCAGCAGATAATGAAATGTTTAATCTTTTATGGGTTATGCCTGAAAACAGTTCACTATTTAATTAAGATTGGGATTAGAATTAATTCTGTAAAAAACAGAATTTAATCAACCAAATAGTTCATGATTTGGTAAAAGGAAATATCCTACTACATTCATTAAAATCAGATGAAAATCTGAGGTGCAAACCAAAATTATTCCTTCATCCCTACTCTCATCACCCTAAAAGCAACGACAAAACACACTCAAATGACAAGCTTCAAAATTGAGCACTACAAGAAAATGTAGTATAAAAATGCCCAACCATCACCGATAAGGAAAAGATACATAGGTACTAATACAGCCAGACTACAATTTGAGGAAAACGAACTCTTCGATGGCAGGGACTTCACCAATCCTCTTCAGACTTTCCTTGCTGGGTTGGTCGTCAACTCCAATGGCCATCACTGCATGCTTCCTCGGAGCAACCCTCCCAACACTCATGAAGCTCACGTTCACATTCTCCTCGCCCAAAATACTGCCAACCGTGCCAATCATACCTGGCTGATCGACCTGTCTGCAAAGTATAATACTACCCTCCAAGCTCACATCCACTTCGAATGACCCTACTTTTGTCAGATGGGGAACTCCATCCTTCACCCTTCCTTCAACCCTAATCTCACCGGACTCTGACATGGCACTAGCAAATTTTGATTCCACGTTTTCTATTTGAACTTGGATCGACTCCAGTGGACTCTCAGGTGAACCATCTAAAAGAACACGTTCCTCAGTAATCCGCAGTCCTCTCTGTTTAGCAGTGAAATCAGCATTAACCAGGTTCACAAAAACACTGGAAATTGGCTCAATTATGCCCTTTGTGATCATTGCACGGAGCAACCTAGAGTCAAAATCATCTGGGGCTCTAGAGGTAGCATATGATACTTTCACAGTTTTAACACCACTTCCACCTGCAACCAGTTGGACAGCCAACCTACCAAGTTTCTCAGCAAGTTCGACATAAGGTTTCAACTCTGTTAGAACCTGCAGGGGAATAACGGATAAGTGAGACTGAAATCCAGGATGAATACTAAAGTAAAATAAATAGCAGAACTAACATAAACCATTGTATTTGTACCTCTGCAGGAACCATTGGTGCATTGACTGCAGTTGCGGCAAGTTCCCCTTTCAAGGCTCCGACAACAGCTTCAGCAATTTCAATAGCCACTCCTTCCTGAAAAGCATACCAATGATTCATTCAATAATCCAGTCCAGAAACAAGTGAGACATTAGCAGATGCACTCAACGATTAACTAACCTGAGCCTCCATTGTACTAGCACCCAGATGTGGAGTGACAGTAACCCTCTCATGCTGCACCAATTTGCTGTCTGGTTTTGGAGGCTCCTGACTGAAAACATCAAGGGCAGCCTGAGCTACAATCCCATCATCCAATGCCCTCACAAGAGCCTCTTCATCAATCACTCCTCCACGAGCAACGTTGACAATTCGAACACCTTTCTTCATCTTAGCAAATGTCTCATCATTGAGCATCTTATTAGTAGCAGGGGTGAGAGGCATGTGAAGAGAGATGAAATCTGCAGTCGCCAAGGCTTCATCAAAGCTCACTAGCTCCACACCTATAGCACGAGCACGATCAGCCGGGGCATAAGGATCATGTGCAATAACATGCATGCCAAGTCCCTTGGCTCGCCGAGCTACTTCTGATCCAACCTTTCCAAAACCCATTACAGCAAGCGTTTTTCCAACAAGGGATACACCCACATATTTGTTCCTCTGCCACTTCCCTACATAAAAAATCACATAAAAGTTCTAAGTTTTTTTTTTTCAGAAATCTAGTTAAAAACGGGAAAATCAATGTAATTCATAAACAAATAAGATCAAATCATGCCGCAAACTCATATTGCCTAAAATTAATATAAAATCTCAACCACAACACATTAAACTGCCAATAGTCAGAATATATCTCTTAAAAAGTATCATTATCATCTTCAAAACATGTAAATATTGTGATCTCAAACATCTGAGACAGTAAAATAAGCAGTGGCGATTTTCCTCAGGCTTCAATCTACGGAATCAATCACTCACCATAGCATGACTAAAACAGATCCATAATCATATTACATTTCCTATATTTAATCATAGCAACAGAAGTCCAAACATAAAATCGAGATCTAAGTAATCAACATGGAATATAAAAACAACCCAAAAAATTGTTTTCGTTTACTAACCAGCCTTGACGGAAGCATCAGCCTGAGCCACGTTTCGAGCCATGGCAGCCAAGAGCGCGATCCCATGTTCAGCTGCCGCAACGGTATTAGCAGTAGGCGCATTGACGACCAAACAACCGTGTTCAGTGGCGGCAGACAGATCCACATTATCGATCCCAACACCAGCTCTGCCAACGACCTTCAATCTCCCGCCAGAAGATTCAAAAACCTCGCGGTTAACTTTGGTTCCACTGCGCACAATCAAGGCGTCGCAAAGTGAGATCTTGGTGCATAGCTCCTCGGGGGAGAGGTTGTAAGAGCAGTCGACGTTGGCGAACTCCTTGAGCAGCTCCAAGCCCGCTTCCCCGAGCTTTTCGGCGACGAGGACGGTGGGTTTGTTGGAGAATGAGGAGGCCGCGGAAGCGGTTATGATCAGTAAGCGGCGGCCGCCTTGAGGGGTGGAGCGGGGGAAGCGGAGGGAGTTGGGGAAGGAGGCGGAAAGAACAGAGGGGAGGCGGGGTTTGGAGGAAAGGGAGAGGGATGATGGGTTTTTAAGGGTTGGAATTCCAAATGAAGCCATCGTCGACGTGATGTAAAAGTTAAATCGATAAGTTTTCTCTTTTGGAATGGGAGGAAAAGGAGGCGAAGAAAGTACGGCGAGGAAATGAAATGAGAAAGAGTGAGAATTTATACCCATTTTTTCCCTTTTGGCTTAGGTGAGATACAGTGAACGAGGGTTGGGCGGATGCACGCGCCGCTATCTTTTGGAGCGGAGAAGTCGGAACGTACAGTGACGCGACGAGAATGACAGTGGGGTTATAATCGTTTTATTTTTCCAATTAAATCTGCCATTTTTTGGCAAAAAATAATTCCTTCTGTTAGCCATCTACACAACGTATAGGAGCTAAATTGGATGATTGAATTATTTGAACATTTTATTTTAATTTAGTCTAATCATTTAGTTTTTATTATTATTTTTTATTTTTGATTTGTTTAAAATAAAAATTTATTAAAAATTAAGTGAGTTTATCCTAAAAAGTAATACATTTATGTTTATTTATCATTTTGGTACATATACATTTATGTTTATAATTGGATGAGTAATATATTTATGATTAAGGGTTGGTGAATCGAAGAAAAGGATGCAGTCGCCACGCTCCTCAAAGTAGCGTGAAGCTTGTGCAAGTTGGAAGGCGGTAGGTAATGGTGACATGAAATAGAAATATCAAATGATTAAGATCAGACCATATAATATAAAGTTGGGCAGAATGTAGAACCGATGGGCCCACCCGGTTCGTAGATCTGTAGCACCACTGGATTTGTTTCGATTCACTTGTTTATTGGAAATACCGAAGGCTGGTTTTATTAAATAATAGTAAGAGAAAGGAAGGGATGTTCTGATTTATAGTCAAAATCTATCTAATTATATATTGAGAAGAAAAGGGCAATTTGGATTTGTTTTCTTTTAGGATGAATAATGATACCGCCCATGAATTTATAAAAGTTTAAAATTTTAACCCATTCTAGTTGTGCCTTGATCCAATTAGACATGTAATTACAGGGCGGAACGCCAATTATATTTTTAATTATTTTTTTGGATAATCAATTATTATATTCATCCAAAGAAAGCAGCAAGCTGCTACAAGAGAACAAAATAACTATACAAGACCTCAATCAGTACATAATTGTCTATTTACAGTATCCAGCCTATTATGTTGTATATATACAATTTAATTCTAACTGCCTCTTTGATAACATTTACAATGGCAGCAAACGGGCGCGACAATCCTCTAAAAATTCTTCGATTACGCTCCTCCCAAATGAAGTAAATATACCCTGTCCAAGCTAGTTTAAGAATATGAACTAGCAGAGACTTGCCTTTTAAATTTCTATTAAACCAGCGCAGTCGATCATCCCAGCTCAGGCTTTGCTGCTGCAATCCACAACTCTGCATGATAGCATCCCAGACTCTCCCTGAGTATAGACAATCCGAGAATAGATGATTTCTCGATTTTAAATCAGCATCACAGAACCCACATCGAGCATCAGTCACTATTGCAAAATGATCTAATCTCTCCTTAGTTGGGAACCTATCGAGAATAATCATCCATGTAATCAAAGAAAACTTAGGGATGTGCACAGGGAACCATATAAGTCGATGCCATACCACTTTGTCATTCTTATCCCTAATTTTGTCCCATATCCAACCACCCCTAATTTGAGACCAGTTAATAGAAGCAGTAAACAAACATCCATCATGTTCTCTCATTTTGATAAGCTTCCTAAGAGTCCAGTTGAAATGAGGTTTGTTTGCAACATTCCAATAATCTTCTTGCTTAAAGCAGTAAGCCTTAATTCAAGCTATCCACAGAAAACCTTCACCAGCCAATAAATTTTTAATAAGCATCAGACAGTAGGTTTTGTTCCAACCAGCCAAGTTTCTAAGTCTCAAACCTCCCTCAGATTTAGGTGAGCAGATCTGACTCCAGCTTACTATGGCACCTCGAGCAGGGGAGTCATTGCCCTTCCAAAAGAACCTCATACACAGCCTTTCAATGTCCAAGATGCCTCCCTTAGGCAGAATAAAATGCCTGCTCCATTAGGAGAAAATACTAAACAATACAGCTTTAATGAGCTGCAGCTTCCCTCCAAAGCTCAGTTTCCTACTAGACCACTGCCTCAACTTGCCCTTGATCTTTTCCAATAATGCTTTACAATCAGTCCCAGAAAGCTTCATAGTCACCAAAGA